GGACACCCGTCTCCCCCACCAAGCCGCCAGGACAGGCTGAGACTCGGACAGGGCAGCGCAGGGCGGGCTGGGGAGGGAGGATGAGCGTGTTGCCTGGGGGACGGGCTTGGGCACCACAGGGCCTGGGAGGGCTGGGCGGGGGCCATACATTCTGGACGCCCGGAGGACCTGGCCTGTCAGGTATCGGGGATCCCCGGATGTCTAAGGCGCGGTTGGGGGGCTAGGTTATCGGTCCTGGTGCTGACCGTGAAGAAACCACGTGAGGGGGTTTGAAGGTCAAGCTTGGAAACATTAAGAGGGAGGTGAGAGGCCCTGGGAACTGGACAGTCAGGAGGGAGGTGAGAGGCCCTGGGAACTGGACAGCCAGGAGGGAGGTGAGAGGCCCTGGGAACTGGACAGCCAGGAGGGAGGTGAGTGGGGCCTGGGAACTGGACAGCCAGGAGGCTGGGTGCCCCAGTCGGAGTCAGAAATCTGGGGCAGGGTGGAAGTCACAGGGCGGGTGGTGGCGACACCGGATGTGGTGTGGGAGGTCAGAGATCGGGAATCTGGGCGGCCTTGCTGCCTGTGTGCAGTTTCCCGACGGCGGCCCAGACCCGGCGGCTATCAAGTCCCAGGGCCAGAGGTGCAGACAGCAGGGACTCAGGCCGGGCGGGAAGGGGGAGGGCAGGGCAAGGGCGCGGGGCCACTGACCGAGCCGCCCTCCACGATGTCCCTCCAGAGCGGGCGGTCGGGAGGCTGCTCCGCCAGCTCCAGGAGGTTGTCCAGCACCACCTGGCCGATGAGGTCGTGCCGGGAGAAGCGGTCGAAGTCGTAGACGCTGAAGTGCAGTTTGCGCTGGGCCAGCTCGGCCAGGGGCACCGCGAACTGAAACGTCTCGTTGAAAACGGGGTTCAGGGTCTTCCAGTGCACCTGGAGGGGTGGGAGACAGCCACCATGCCCCTGCCCCCCTCCCGCCCGGGCGTCTGGCCACAGCCCGCGCCGCCCGGAGCCCAGCCCGGGCTCGGCCGCCGCACCTTGGTCTGGAACTTCTTCTTGCGGTCGGGCAGCAGGTAGATCTTGACGTAGGGGTCCGAGAAGCCGTTGGAGTCCTTGGCGGGCAGGTCCAAGGCCTGCAGGATGCGCACCACCAGCTGGTCGGAGCCGTAGAGGTAGCGCAGTGCGAAGCTGATGCGGCCGCAGGGCGCCCCCGAGCCCGCCTCTCCGGAGCCTGGTGCCCCGCCGCCGCGCCGGCCGCCTGGTCCGGTGCCCTGGTACAACTCTGGCTTGATCTGCCCGATGAGTTTGGCTTTTTCCTCGCCCCCGGGTAGGGGTAAGGGTAGGGCGGGCGGCCGCTCCTCACTGCTGGGGTCCGGCTGGGAGGTCAGGGTCTGCTGGGTGAGGGGCCGGGGCAGAGCTGGGTACCTGTGGTGGGGGAGACCAGGGGGGAGTCCAGGCTCCGATCTCTGTGCAAAGGTCCAGGAGCCGCCTCCCTCCTCTTCCTCAACCCTCAGCCAGGTGGCCACAAATCCCTTTGGCTCACTGTGTGGCCTCAAGCCACTGGTGCTGTCTGAGCCTCAGTTTCCCCATGTGTACCGTGGCGTCTGTCCCCACTTCTGAGTTCCAGCCCCGGGCCTGTGGCTGCACCAGCTTGTAGAAGCCTCCTCTGATCCTCACCCTGGTGCCCAGGAAAGCTCAGCCCCTCTGGACTCTGCCCTCCTCCAGATCTCACCAGCCTCCCTGCTGGCCCCTGCCCAGGTCCTGGCTCAGGCCTGTCCTCCCCTGCCTGGACGCTCAGCCTCCAGTCTCTCCCTCCGGTCCACCCATGCGGCCCAGAGGACTCCTCTACACCAGAGCGGAGCTGCGTCCCCTGCTCACTGCCCTGTAGCTCCCTGATGTGCCAGGACAAAGTCACAGACCCCGAGCCCTGCGCGTCCCTGTGCCCGCGGCCGCATCTCCTGAGCTTTCTCTCGAACCCGGCGGGCTGTTCCCACCAGGCACCGTGACCCCTTTCCCCACTCCCCTCGCACAGGCTGGGCCTCTCCCTGCCTCTGGGCCGGCCTAACTGAGCTGTCCTCGGGGGCAGGATGGGGTAGACTGTCATGGATCTTGGCCTAGGCACGGCCACTTCCAGGAAGCCCCGGCCACCCCAAAGACGGGGTTCAGGGCTTCCTAGGGACCCCACAGCCATGGTCCCGGAGCTGGGTTACCGCCTCACTGGCCAGGCTGCACAGGGGCCCATCTGCCCTGGACTCTGAGTGACATGAAGACAGACTCAGTGTTTGGCCGGTCTTTAGTTCGGGCCCAGCTCCCATCAGGTGCTCAGTCATGTGCTCAGCGAGGACTAGGGGCTGAAGAGAGCCCGCCCCTCTGGCCTGGCCTTGTGCTTGGGGACTCGGGGCCAACCCCCTTCTCCACCTTCCTGATCCTGGAGTCCTGCCCCCATGGACGAGGAATCCGAGCCCCCAGCCCCATCCTCCCCAGATCCAGGAGTCTGGGTCCCCAGCCTCCTCTTTCCCCACCATCCAGGGATCAAACCCCAAGCCCTCTCCTGCCCCAGAACTCAGAAGCGGCACAGGTGGGAAGAGACACAGAAGAGGAGCCTAAGTTGGGGGTGGCCACCAGCCCAGTGGCCTCTCACCTGGTGGCGGGTGCCAGGCTCGTGACCTGCTGATGAGACTGGGCGCTGGGCAGGCCCCCAGCACTGGGGGGCAACAGGAGCAGCCCGGAGCCCGGCCCTGCCTCGGAGGGCAGCTCTGGGGAAGTCTGGCTGGGTCTGACCCCGGCGGCAGCAGCGGCGGGGGGGGCGGGGGGGGGGGCGGCGGCGCGGGTGGTGGGTAGTGTGGGCGTGGTGGTGTGGGCCCCGCCCCCCATCGGGGCCTCCCAGGCCGGCCCCCAGGTGGTGCCCGCCGCCTCCCACCAGGCCTGCCAGCCCAGCCCGGCTGCCAGGTGGTGCCGCCCGCCTCCCACCAGGCCTGCCAGCCCGACCCCAGGGCCTAGGTCTTTGCTCAGGGGACCGCCG